GGATTGGATGAGGAAGACCATGTGATTCTGAAGGATAGTTTAATAAAGTGACCCAAACACCATAAAACATTTAGTTTATTATTTTAATTCCCAGTCTACAAAGTATACTATACACTGGTAAGAACATTCCGACAAAAAGAACAAAAGATTCATGCCAAATGATACATCTCTCTGTTGACACAACAGTTTTAAAGAACATTCCGAAACACATTTCCAAGCTGCAGTTTAGTTCTTTAAAGAACATTCCGAAAACACGCCCTGTTACAAGTTGACTTTAGTTCTCTAAAGAACATTCCGAAAACACGCCCTGTTCCAAGCTGTGGTTAGTGTTTTATAGAACAGTCCGAAAACACGCCCTGTTTCAAGCTGAGTTTAGTTCTCTAAAGAACATTCCGAAAACACGCCCTGTTACAAGCTGACTTTAGTTCTCTAAAGAACATTCCGAAAACACGCCCTGTTACAAGCTGACTTTAGTTCTCTAAAGAACATTCCGAAAACACGCCCTGTTACAAGCTGACTTTAGTTCTCTAAAGAACATTCCGAAAACACGCCCTGTTACAAGCTGACTTTAGTTCTCTAAAGAACATTCCGAAAACACGCCCTCTGTTACAAGAACATTCCGAAAACACGCCCTGTTACAAGCTGTGACTTTAGTGTTTTAAGAACTTTAGTTCTCTAAAGAACATTCCGAAAACACGCCCTGTTACAAGCTGACTTTAGTTCTTTAAAGAACATTCCGAAAACACGCCCTGTTACAAGCTGACTTTAGTTCTCTAAAGAACATTCCGAAAACACGCCCTGTTACAAGCTGACTTTAGTTCTTTAAAGAACATTCCGAAAACACGCCCTGTTACAAGCTGACTTTAGAACATTCCGAAAACACGCCCTGTTACAAGCTGACTTTAGTTCTAAAACACGCCCTGTTCCAAGTTGACTAAAAGAACATTCCGAAAACACGCCCTGTTACAAGCTGACTTTAGTTCTTTAAAGAACATTTAGTTCTTTAAAGAACATTCCGAAAACACGCCCTGTTACAAGCTGACTTTAGTTTTAAAGAACATTCCGAAAACAGAACATTAGTTCTTTAAAGAACGAAAACACGCCCTGTTACAAGCTGACTTTAGTTCTTTAAAGAACATTCCGAAAACACGCCCTGTTACAAGCTGACTTTACAAGCTGACTTTTCTCTAAAGAACATTCCGAAAACACGCCCTGTTACAAGCTGACTTTAGTTCTTTAAAGAACATTCCGAAAACACGCCCTGTTACAAGTTGAGTTTAGTTCTTTAAAGAACATTCCGAAAACACGCCCTGTTACAAGTTGACTTTAGTTTTCTAAAGAACATTCCGAAAACACGCCCTGTTACAAGTTGACTTTAGTTCTTTAAAGAACATTCCGAAAACACGCCCTGTTACAAGTTGACTTTAGTTCTCTAAAGAACATTCCGAAAACACGCCCTGTTACAAGTTGAGTTTAGTTTTCTAAAGAACATTCCGAAAACACGCCCTGTTACAAGTTGACTTTAGTTCTCTAAAGAACATTCCGAAAACACGCCCTGTTACAAGCTGACTTTAGTTCTCTAAAGAACATTCCGAAAACACGCCCTGTTACAAGCTGACTTTAGTTCTCTAAAGAACATTCCGAAAACATTCCGAAAACACGCCCTGTTACAAGTTGAGTTTAGTGTTTTATAGAACAGTCCGAAAACACGCCCTGTTACAAGCTGAGTTTAGTTCTTTAAAGAACATTCCGAAAACACGCCCTGTACAAGCTGACTTATAGTTCTCTAAAGAACATTCCGAAAACACGCCCTGTTACAAGTTGACTTTAGTTCTCTAAAGAACATTCCGAAAACACGCCCTGTTACAACAAGTTCCTAAAGAACATTCCGAAAACACGCCCTGTTACAAGTTAAGTTTAGTTCTTTAAAGAACATTCCGAAAACACGCCCTGTTACAAGCTGTGGTTAGTGTTTTATAGAACATTCCGAAAACACGCCCTGTTCAAGCTGAGTTTAGTTCTCTAAAGAACATTCCGAAAACACGCCCTGTTACAAGTTGAGTTTAGTTCTTTAAAGAACATTCCGAAAACACGCCCTGTTACAAGCTGACTTTAGTTTTCTAAAGAACATTCCGAAAACACGCCCTGTTACAAGCTGACTTTAGTTCTTTAAAGAACATTCCGAAAACACGCCCTGTTACATTCCGAAAACACGCCCTGTTACAAGCTGACTTTAGTTTCTAAAGAACTCTAAAGAACATTCCGAAAACACGCCCTGTTACAAGTTGAGTTTAGTTCTTTAAAGAACATTCCGAAAACACGCCCTGTTACAAGTTGACTTTAGTTCTCTAAAGAACATTCCGAAAACACGCCCTGTTACAAGCTGACTTTAGTTCTCTAAAGAACATTCCGAAAACACGCCCTGTTACAAGTTGAGTTTAGTTCTTTAAAGAACATTCCGAAAACACGCCCTGTTACAAGCTGACTTTAGTTCTCTAAAGAACATTCCGAAAACACGCCCTGTTACAAGCTGAGTTTAGTTCTCTAAAGAACATTCCGAAAACACGCCCTGTAAAGAACATTCCGAAAAAGCCCTGACTTTAGTTCTCATTCCGAAAAAGAACATTCCGAAAACACGCCCTGTTTCAAGCTGAGTTTAGTTCTCTAAAGAACATTCCGAAAACACGCCCTGTTACAAGTTGACTTTAGTTCTTAAAGAACATTCCGAAAACACGCCCTGTTACAAGCTGACTTTAGTTTTCTAAAGAACATTCCGAAAACACGCCCTGTTACAAGCTGAGTTTAGTTCTCTAAAGAACATTCCGAAAACACGCCCTGTTACAAGTTGAGTTTAGTTCTCTAAAGAACATTCCGAAAACACGCCCTGTTACAAGAACATTGAAAACACGTTCTTTAAAGAACATTCCGAAAACACGCCCTGTTACAAGCTGACTTTAGTTCTCTAAAGAACATTCCGAAAACACGCCCTGTTACAAGCTGACTTTAGTTCTCTAAAGAACATTCCGAAAACACGCCCTGTTACAAGTTGACTTTAGTTCTTTAAAGAACATTCCGAAAACACGCCCTGTTTCAAGTTGACTTTAGTTCTTTAAAGAACATTCCGAAAACACGCCCTGTTACAAGCTGACTTTAGTTCTTTAAAGAACATTCCGAAAACACGCCCTGTTACAAGCTGACTTTAGTTCTTTAAAGAACATTCCGAAAACACGCCCTGTTCAAGCTGACTTTAGTTTTCTAAAGAACATTCCGAAAACACGCCCTGTTACAAGCTGTGGTTAGTGTTTTATAGAACATTCCGAAAACACGCCCTGTTACAAGTTGACTTTAGTTCTCTAAAGAACATTCCGAAAACACGCCCTGTTCAAGCTGACTTTAGTTCTCTAAAGAACATTCCGAAAACACGCCCTGTTCCAAGCTGTGGTTAGTGTTTTATAGAACAGTCCGAAAACACGCCCTGTTTCAAGCTGAGTTTAGTTCTCTAAAGAACATTCCGAAAACACGCCCTGTTCAACAAGTTACTTTACACAACTGACATTAAAGAACATTCCGAATAACACGCCCTGTTACAAGCTTGGTTAGTGTTTTATAGAATGTTCAATAATCTGTATGTAGCAATGTCATATAATGGTAAATATTGCCACATGAACAACATAACTGTGAGTTCGATGACTGATAAAACTACCTGTAGGTCAGATAATTAACTCTGATCGGAAATTTACATTAGGTTACAGCTACAGCATCATTGTGTATTTCAAATACCTTTGGATAAAGTCGGGAAGCTTAAGATGAGACGATATGTAAACAAAATGAAAAGATAAGATTCCCCTATAGAGAAACAGTACGATATTTGATATAGAGACATAATTAATCACTTGATCATTATATCTCAATGAAGGACTTTAACATAATGAAATCGACGTCATATACCAAACGTATTTTTACAAAAAATAGATTTTATTATTTAGAACGAGGCAATACTGATTGCAATATTTCATTACATGATCCCAATCTTCTGTCAGTTGAAACCTTCGCGTGTTTTTGAGCTGCTCCTGAGACTGAGAATGAGCCCATGGACAGTACAATGTCAGTGATTTGATAGTCTTAGCTGATAAAATGACAAACATCATCCCCGAGTAATGAAACTTCATTTGAAGTGATAATGACGTGTAGACAGAACTCACTTTGATCTAAGTCCCAGATCATATGTTGATGACGCCTGGCATTAACAGTCATTATCAAACCCACAACTCCTACACTTCTTATATAAAACAAATATTGATGTAAATCCCAAATTTTAGATAAATGTGATAATTTATCACCATTCTGAGAAGCTGATGGTCTAAGTTGATGCAAGTCTCAGCAGACGCTGCCTTCTTTTATTGTATCATGGCAACACACTACCTCAATTCCCCAGCGATGTTATAAAACCACATGTACTATATATTTGCAGGCTATTTATCGGTTTAGTCTCAATAAAGTAGTATTCTGTGAGCAGTACCGGCATATTTTAGCCTTATTTAGGTTTGTCTTCGTGAACCTGATGGAGACATTTAAGTACTATATTCATTTCTAAAAATCGATAGAAAACTCAAAGTGACCATTATGATAAATTGCTTTTTTTTCTCGATGATTCACTGAAGATGCCACGATTTCTAAGTCTAGAAATTTATCTTCCCTGTAATGAATAGTTGTTCATTCCTCGTAAAGCTGTGGTATTCTTCGTTATATCAGTAATAACGTTTCTTTATGGTAACATGATCGCAAGTCTCGGTACATTTTCATTCTGGCGATTGCTTCCACGAACATACAAACCAGTGGAAACAAATGTGTGATTTTATGGACTTTTCAGTACTATCTGAGAAAAAATGTGTCCTTTTAGAAACACAAGGGGCGGGAAGTACTGACTGTGTACATCAGTAAATGGAGTAAACATACATTGATATGTTTTACTTATACAAAATGACAAATAAAAACGGATCTAAGCAAGTTATACATTTTATTTTAGTCAACCAAAATATGTAAATACTCCTGTATATAAAATACATGTCACCAACAGACTTCATATAAATCTCTAAATACATAAATCTCAGCCGATTTATTGTAGTATTACACTTTAAACAACAGGAACTCTATTCGTAATCGTTATTCCAAACGTCTCAACAAAACGCTCGTTAACTAAAACGCAAAATAATACAACTCGACCTTCCATAATATAAAGGTTTCAACACAGGGACCTATTCACCATGGCTTATCCACATGTCCATGTGGGTAACTGTTTTGGAGAATCGGGCATCTTTAACGCACAGTTTTCTACAAGAATCGGGCCGATTTCCAACTTATGATTGTGTTATACAACATTTTGACAAAATCAAACAGTCAAACTTATCGTTCATTAATATGATTACACAATTACAGTACCCAGATGTACATATATTGACATATTATTACTTAAATGCATTACATCCATTAACAACAAGTGTTATTGTGACAATTAGAAGTGGCGTGTAACGAGTAGTACTCATACATTTTTTATTACAGTGAACAGTACAAATATTACATTCTACAGACAAAAGTATCATACTAAAATGTATTGTTAACACTATCTTAAACAATATATATGCATATAAATATATATTATCCACGCGCTGTAATGATCTTCAGCGAAAAAAAGATAATATCACAGAACTGAAACAATAGTAACTGAAATAGGACAATTGAATTAAAGTTTAAAATAGGCGTTTTACATTTACCACGACGTTTGATGGCGCGTGTTACGTTCACCGTGACGTTTGATGGCGTGTGTTACGTTTACCGTGACGTTTGATGACGCGTGTTACGTTGAAGTGACGTTTGATGGCGCGTGTAACGTTCATCGTGACGTTAACTAACGCGTGTTTTGTTTACTGTGACGTTTACTAACGCGTGTTATGTTTACTGTGACGTTTACTAACGCGTGTTATGTTTACTATGACGTTTACTAACGCGTGTTTTGTTTACTATGACGTTTACTAACGCGTGTTTTGTTTACTGTGACGTTTACTAACGTGTGTTATGTTTACTGTGACGTTTACTAACGCGTGTTTTGTTTACTGTGACGTTTACTAACGCGTGTTTTGTTTACTGTGACGTTTACTAACGCGTGTTTTGTTTACTGTGACGTTTACTAACGTGTGTTATGTTTACTATGACGTTTACTAACGCGTGTTTTGTTTACTGTGACGTTTACTAACGCGTGTTTTGTTTACTGTGACGTTTACTAACGCGTGTTATGTTTACTGTGACGTTTACTAAAGCGTGTTTTGTTTACTATGACGTTTACTAACGCGTGTTTTGTTTACTATGACGTTTACTAACGCGTGTTTTGTTTACTGTGACGTTTACTAAAGCGTGTTTTGTTTACTATGACGTTTACTAACGCGTGTTTTGTTTACTATGACGTTTACTAACGCGTGTTTTGTTTACTGTGACGTTTACTAACGTGTGTTATGTTTACTGTGACGTTTACTAACGCTCGTTGTTTAACTTCTCGTGTTATATTTACCGTGATTAAGTGATATTTAAATAATTCATAACTTGAAATATAAAGAATAATATCTTTTCCAAATTAAATTGAACTACTGCTGTGTAACTCGAGCGAATATAAAATGTTCTGTTGACCTCGGTACAATGTAACACTTATGATCTATGGCTGTTTCCGTAATATGTCTGCGATAGACCAGCCAGCGTTAAAAATGTTATTTTACATATGACTGAAATTTTCACGATACTATAAATGGTGGCGTTATAGGAATAATATTCAATGCATTCCAGGCTACAAAAATATACTATTAAGCATGATGTTATCACAGTATCAGAATACATTGTATATATACAACAAACAAAATACAGTGGTATTATATTTGTCCTTTCCCGGGACAAAGTCAACTTTCTAAATTTCATCAATATCCCTTCAATATAACTACTAGTACAACAAAATAGATCAATTTTCTCTGGCATGACAAACATGCTGCATCATTAGAAATACAAATATAACAACATTCAACCTGACATGGTCTTAACGTTAGAACGTCTAACCACTTATAGCAACATACAGAACGTCTAACCAGTTATAGCAACATACAGAACGTCTAACCAGTTATGGCAACATACAGAACGTCTAACCAGTTATGGCAACATACAGAACGTCTAACCAGTTATGGCAACATACAGAACGTCTAACCAGTTATGGCAACATACAGAACGTCTAACCAGTTACGGCAACATACAGAACGTCTAACCAGTTATGGCAACATACAGAACGTCTAACCAGTTATAGCAACATACAGAACGTCTAACCAGTTATAGCAACATACAGAACGTCTAACCAGTTATAGCAACATACAGAACGTCTAACCAGTTATAGCAGCATACACTATCAACGTCAGGACAAAGTCCTTCAAAGTTGCAGAGAAATTCAAACGTCCAAACAGTTACACAAACATATACTAACAACGTCAGGACAAAGTCCTTCAAAGTCACAGAAAAATTCAAACGTCCAAACAGTTACACAAACATACACTATCAACGTCAGGAAAAAGTCCTTCAAAATTACAGAGAAATTCAAACGTCCAAACAGTTACACAAACATACACTATCAACGTCAGGACAAAGTCCTTCAAAGTTACAGAAAAATTCAAACCTCCAAACAGTTACAGCAACATACAGTATCAACGTCAGGACAAAGTCCTTCAAAGTCACAGAAAAATTCAAACGTCCAAACAGTTACAGCAACATATACTAACAACGTCAGGACAAAGTCCTTCAGTTACAGAAAAATTCAAACCTCCAAACAGTTACAGCAACATACACTATCAACGTCAGGACAAAGTCCTTCAGTTACAGAAAAATTCAAACGTCAAAACAGTTACAGCAACATATACTAACAACGTCAGGACAAAGTCCTTCAAAGTTACAGAAAAATTCATACCTCCAAACAGTTACACAAACATACACTATCAACATCAGGACAAAGTCCTTCAAAGTCACAGAAAAATTCAAACGTCCAAACAGTTACAGCAACATATACTAACAACGTCAGGACAAAGTCCTTCAAAGTCACAGAAAAATTCAAACGTCCAAACAGTTACACAAACATACACTATCAACATCAGGACAAAGTCCTTCAAAGTCACAGAAAAATTCAAACGTCCAAACAGTTACACAAACATACACTATCAACATCAGGACAAAGTCCTTCAAAGTCACAGAAAAATTCAAACGTCAAAACAGTTACACAAACATATACTAACAACGTCAGGACAAAGTCCTTCAAAGTCACAGAAAAATTCAAACGTCCAAACAGTTACACAAACATACACTATCAACATCAGGACAAAGTCCTTCAGTTACAGAAAAATTCAAACGTCCAAACAGTTACACAAACATACACTATCAACATCAGGACAAAGTCCTTCAAAGTCACAGAAAAATTCAAACGTCCAAACAGTTACACAAACATACACTATCAACATCAGGACAAAGTCCTTCAAAGTCACAGAGAAATTCAAACGTCCAAACAGTTACAGCAACATATACTAACAACGTCAGGACAAAGTCCTTCAAAGTCACAGAAAAATTCAAACGTCCAAACAGTTACACAAACATACACTATCAACATCAGGACAAAGTCCTTCAGTTACAGAAAAATTCAAACGTCCAAACAGTTACACAAACATACACTATCAACATCAGGACAAAGTCCTTCAAAGTCACAGAGAAATTCAAACGTCCAAACAGTTACAGCAACATATACTAACAACGTCAGGACAAAGTCCTTCAAAGTCACAGAAAAATTCAAACGTCCAAACAGTTACAGCAACATACACTATCAACGTCAGGACAAAGTCCTTCAAAGTCACAGAAAAATTCAAACGTCCAAACAGTTACACAAACATACACTATCAACGTCAGGACAAAGTCCTTCAAAGTCACAGAAAAATTCAAACGTCCAAACAGTTACACAAACATACACTATCAACATCAGGACAAAGTCCTTCAAAGTCACAGAAAAATTCAAACGTCCAAACAGTTACAGCAACATACACTATCAACGTCAGGACAAAGTCCTTCAAAGTCACAGAAAAATTCAAACGTCCAAACAGTTACACAAACATACACTATCAACATCAGGACAAAGTCCTTCAAAGTCACAGAAAAATTCAAACGTCCAAACAGTTACACAAACATACACTATCAACATCAGGACAAAGTCCTTCAAAGTCACAGAAAAATTCAAACGTCCAAACAGTTACACAAACATACACTATCAACGTCAGGACAAAGTCCTTCAAAGTTACAGAAAAATTCAAACGTCCAAACAGTTACACAAACATACACTATCAACATCAGGACAAAGTCCTTCAAAGTCACAGAAAAATTCAAACGTCCAAACAGTTACACAAAAATACACTATCAACATCAGGACAAAGTCCTTCAAAGTCACAGAAAAATTCAAACGTCCAAACAGTTACACAAACATACACTATCAACATCAGGACAAAGTCCTTCAAAGTCACAGAAAAATTCAAACGTCCAAACAGTTACACAAACATACAGTATCAACATCAGGACAAAGTCCTTCAAGGTCACAGAAAAATTCAAACGTCCAAACAGTTACACAAACATACAGTATCTTACAATGACATTCAGTCTCATAAAACACATAAAAGATACAAAAAAAATTAAATGTCCGAACAGTTACAGTAAGATAAAGAAAGCTAAGAACAAATACAGTTTAACTTTGGCCAAAATGTCAACAATATTATAACGGGACGCTATGATAAACTTTGAACATTTGTGTTTCATGTATTCTGGAAATTCCCTTTACTGACCTGGATGATTGTCCATTAACCGACAGTCATTCCATTTCTGTGTGCCTCTTTTCGACGTCTTTACCTGAGGGAATATCATTTCAATATCGATAACAATGACCTAAATTCGTAATATTCTCGTGAAATGCGACTGTTAACGTCTTTCGTCTGACGTACCAAAAAATAAATAAAAAAAAAATCCACAGAACACATAAATTTGGCATTAGTAGATATTGACGAAGCTGCCGTCAAAACATCCAGGCAAACATATGTTGATCACAAAACAATCAATATATAATTATTTAGCTTTTTAGAAACTAAACACGAGGGTTGAAATTACTACATGTCACAAGCGGGGTCATGCTTTGGTCCACCAACTAAAGACTCTAATTTACATAAATATGTCTCCGAGTTTCTGGTATGGTACGAATGCTTGTGATAAATAACACACACCCCACCGGAAGCTTGGTTATGATAAGTGATTGATAAGTGTCATTTCATTGTGTTAAATGCATTCCTTGTGGTATGTCCAGGTAAGATATAAAGGTGGGGAGAAACAGTGTAAGAAATATGTCCGGGTAAGATATAAAGGCGGGGAGAAACAGTGTAAGAAATATGTCCGGGTAAGATATAAAGGCGGGGAGAAACAGTGCAAGAAATATGTCCGGGTAAGATATAAAGGCGGGGAGAAACAGTGCAAGAAATATGTCCGGGTAAGATATAAAGGATGGAGAAATAAGAAATATGTCCGGGTAAGATATAAAGGCGGGGAGAAACAGTGTAAGAAATATGTCCGGGTAAGATATAAAGGCGGGGAGAAACAGTGCAAGAAATATGTCCGGGTAAGATATAAAGGCGGGGAGAAACAGTGCAAGAAATATGTCCGGGTAAGATATAAAGGCGGGGAGAAACAGTGTAAGGAATATGTCCGGGTAAGATATAAAGGATGGAGAGAACACATAATCGCAGATAATGGTCTTACATATCAGATGAATTCTCAAACTGATATTTCAGACCACATTTTATATAAATCCATTCAAGCTTTAAGGAAGAATAGCATTTTGTAGTAAAATCATTGATTAATTTTCCACTTTGGGGCCCCACTCCCACGTCCTTATGAATCAAATAAACTTTCTGAATTTAAGAGATAACTCACCTACAATAATGTTTCACACCAAAATTGGTTGGGAACTACCCAGGCATTAAGAAAGAGTAGCGTTTCTAAACAAAATATTGCCTAATTTCCCCTTTGTGGGCCCCGCCCCCAAGTCCCTCGAGGCCGAATCAACTTTATGAATTGAATAATTATTTGCCGCCATACCCTACTGATGTTACAGACAAAATCTGAATGAAATCCTTTCAAGTACTATGAAAGAGTAGCGTTTTGAAGCAAAGTATTGCCTAACTAACCTTTTGGGGCCCCATCCCAGGTCCCTAGGGGTCGAATCAATTTTTTGAATGTAAGGAATGATCCTCCACCTCCAATGACATCTCAGGTCAAATTTGGTTGAAATCCGCCAAGGGGTTAAGCAGGAGTGGTGTTTTAAACAAAAGTTTACGGACGCCGAACGGCGGACCCTTTGGATCAGATGACCTGTAAGTCTTATCAGTAAAACTCGTGGGAGTTTTCGAGATTACACTGTATTACGTGATCTGAACTTTGCTGTCTATCAAACCCGTGTAAGTGTACATGTTACATATTTCTTTGAGTGAACTACAGGAAAATGGCGGTATTATCGTCCCTAAATTAAGTACGGTATTTATGCCAAAGAATGGTCGATTTTAATGGGGTTGTCGTAACTTAAAACCAATGTGAAAGTAAGTGCTTAGAGCGACACCTCACTGTGCTAGTTAATGCAAGGAACGACAACTGTTTGTTTGTGTTTGTAAGAGCAAATCGCAACATCATGGAAATATTCCAACGATAGTCGAAATCTCCTCCCCTCCTCCGTCCGAGATATTGTGATATATATATATAGTGTCTGTCTGTCGTCGCTTTATTTATACTGTCGAAACTTTGTCAGGTCCAACGCAAAAATCATTTCGGTGATGAGCACTGTTTCCATAGTTTGAACTATCAACCTTTTCAAACAACCGTCGTTCATCTCTTAAGTAAATGGTGACCATGGACTCCATCGCCAGCTTCTCCTCCTTCTCCAGGCTCTTTTACTTTGTAATGGTAAGTGACCGAAACGTTTTCATCACCATCTTCGTTCTCGACTCGACCTTGTTGTTTTGTGTCCTTGAGCTCGTCCTTCCGGCACCATTTCTTCCTGACGATGTGAATGATTATTGCTATGATAACGGGAATGGGTGTGAACAGGGAACAGTTGACAGGGGAGACAATCGCAATGTCAGAGTCTGGATGGGGGAGGGACAGTTGTAGCAACACTATAGCCACTCCAGAATTTTGTATCCCTGTTTCTATCGCAATTGTCAAAATATCGCTATTGTTGCGTCTCGTTGCGAACGCCATGATGGCACCGAACACGAACCCTATGTACGGTAACAAAGCGCCCGCAAGTAGATTTAATGGTGTCATCAGTCTAAATATATAGAGGTTTGCATAAATGCCAATCGTAAAGACTAGGATACAGAAAAGCACAGCAACTAGTCGCAGAAGCTTGAGGAGAAACTTTGCCACCTTTGGTAGCTTTTTCTTTATGACGATGCCAATACCAACCGGAATGATGAGACCGATGAGTGAAATGACAATATTGGCGAAAGGGATCGTGACGGATTCTGTCCGGTAGATGACGTGGATGCCAAGGGTGAACAGCCAAAGAGGGATGAGGGCTAAAATAAGAATAAAATCAAGGTCAGTTCATCATATTCCGTCACTAAGGACACAGCTTAATCAAATATATAAATGACATTTCTTGATTCTGTATTCACTTCATATTATATGTCGCATTTCGCATTACAAAATATACCCATTGCCCTGCCACCTTGTACGTTTTCCCCTGAAAATCTTTTCAGAAAATAAAGTTTTGAAGTGAAAACTGATTGCTATATAAGGACTTTGGAATGACCACTATCCCTATGCTTCAGGTGCACTTACAATAATATAACCCACCATGATTACTCATCTATTCTCTCCCAGTAGCTCATGCAATTGTCATCCGTGAATGTTCATTTGCGACCAGTTCCGCAATTTGTGTTTCTCACAGAAATATTACGTTAGTATCCCAAATTTTACTTCTTTATCTTAATATGTTTCGTTCTACCTCAATATCGCGATGGAGTGCAATACTTATCATCGGTAATGCCCTTGCCAAGCAAGCGTAAGTAGAAATCAAATACATTTAAATACATAACATTATATGCTCTATCGAAGAATTCCGCTTTTTACAATCACTTCGAAACGATTCTGGGTAGAAACTGACAAAAGAATAAATCTCTAATTGTATGACACATCTTTATTTGTAAACTAAGCTTTTTAGGATATGATAGGCTTCAAGGTAAACACACTGAATTATTTACAGCCAACAAAATAGCGTTCATTATAGAGAAGTCCGCCATCACGTGTGCTAGATATAAGTAAATGGACAGAGTAAAATGATAGAGAGGTGCCGAATGGTACATCTGTGCAATAAAATCGTCCGAAATTTACATTACTAAACTGACATGTCACGTCCGGCAGTCACTAATCGTTTTGACAACGCCTCAGGCCACCTATCCCAGACGGTCACGAAGCCGTCGATTACACACGGTACAAACATTTCAATGTGTTGACAACGTTTTACAAACAGATTCCGATGGTAGAAGTATTTACTGTGCAAGATCCCCATGTATATCACGAGGCCTGTGAAAGTGTCACTGTATCGTACACGTGTAGAAAAAAAAATCGCGTTTACTTTAACAGCATACTAGTCGAGAACAGGTGTGTGTGCGTTAACAACGTGTCGCCCAAAAGGTTAAACGTTATTTTGGATAATATTTTGTTGCTGACATTTCAAAACAATTTTTATTTTCATTTTGACCATTTCACTGACATTAATGTTTCGTAATTTTGCATTCCCACGTTTTCACAGCTCTTATAAATGCCAACAGTTAATTGATTGAAATGTAAACTGACAAACACGGCCCTGTTTACGAGGCCAATACAAGAAGGGTTGTGTATCTAGCTTCTCCTATGGTGTCTTTTCATGAGGCGCAGACTTTCAAATAAAGTCAAAGGAAAAGACTACCACAAAAAATAACACTAAGTACATTCTTCTCTACTTTTGTGTTCGTGACATAATTAAGGAATAACGATAACAATGGTGTTCCCTGATGGTGTTCCCTGATAGTGTTCAATGATGGTGTTCACTGATGGTGTTCCATGATAGTGTTCACTTATGGTGTTCCATGATTGTGTCCAATGATAGTGTTCACTGATAGTGTTCAATGATGGTGTTCCCTGATAGTGTTTACTGATGGTGTTCCCTGATAGTGTTCACTGATGATGTTCCCTGATAGTGATCACTGATGGTGTTCACTGATGGTGTTCCATGATAGTGTTCACTTATGGTGTTCCATGATTGTGTCCAATGATAGTGTTCACTGATAGTGTTCAATGATGGTGTTCCCTGATAGTGTTCACTGATGGTGTTCCCTGATAGTGTTCACTGATGATGTTCCCTGATAGTGATCACTGATAGTGTTCCCTGATAGTGTTCACTGATGGTGTTCACTGATGGTGTTCCATGATAGTGTTCACTGATAGTGTTCAATGATAGTGTTCAATGATGGTGTTCACTGATGGTGTTCACTGATAGTGTTCACTGATGGTGTTCACTGATGGTATGTACTTATGGTGTTCAATGATAGTGTTCACTTATAGTGTTCACTGATAGTGTTTACTTATGGTATTTATTTATGGTCTTTATTGATAGTTTTCACTGATGGTGTTTACTTATGGTGTTTATTGATATTGTTCACTGATAGTGTTCACTGATGGTGTTTACTTATGGTGTTCAATAATAGTGTTCACTTATAGTGTTCACCGATGGTGTTTACTTATGGTGTTTACTTATGGTGTTCATTGATAGTGTTCATTGATAGTGTTCACTGATGTTTACTTATGGTGTTCACTGATAGTGTTCAATGATAGCATTCACTGATGGTGTTTATGGTTCTTGTTCACTGATAGTGTCCACTGATGGTGTTCACTGATGGTGATCACGGATAGTGTTCAATGATGGTGTTCCCTGATAATGTCCACTGGTGGTGTTAACTGATGGTATTTACTTGTGGTGTTCACTGATAGTGTTCACTGATGGTGTTTACTTATGGTGTTCACTGATGGTGTTCACTGATGGTGTTCACTGATAGTGTTCAATGATGGTGTTCCCTGATAGTGTCCACTGATGGTGTTCACTGATGGTGTTCACTGATGGTATTTACTTATGGTGTTCACTGATACTGTTCACTGATGGTGTTCACTGAAAGTTTTCACTGATGGTGTTTACTTATGGTTTTCACTAATGGTCTTTACTTATGGTGTTCACTGATATGGTGTTTACTTATGGTGTTCACTGATAGTGTTCACTGATGGTGTTCACTGATAGTGTTCACTGATGGTGTTTACTGAAAGTTTTCACTGATGGTGTTCACTGATGGTGTTCACTGATGGTGTTTATGGTTGGTGTTCTCTGATAGGTTTTCACTGATGGTGTTCACTGAAAGTGTTCACTGATAGTATTCACGGATGGTGTTCAATTATGGTATTCCTTTACCAGATGGCGCAATGCTGTTCGTTGACAGCGTTCATACCCAATAATGGATGATAACATTATCCAGATGACGCAACTGTGTTCATTTACCCAGTGACACAATGATATTCACTCTTCCGATGATGTTATGATATTCGCTTTACCAATGGCACGATGGAGTTGTTCACTGATGGCTTTCATTTACTCATTGACACAATCATTTTCGCTGATGGCGTTCATTTACCCAATGATTGACAGTACTCACCCATTTGTGTTTACTTATCCTGTAATGCAAAGATGCTAAAACGTTCTCGCCCAATTTTTTTCACTTATCCTGTAATGAACAGGTGTTCACTTACCTAGTGACGCAATGGTGCTGACGAAGGTCATGGTGACACTCAATGAAACGTTTCCGTCGAGAAAGTATGTGTAGACGTTACTGGCCGCTCCCCCTGGGGAGCACCCCATAGCAAACAGACCGAACGCCATGGGCGGGGTCAGCTGTAGGAGGTATCCCACTGTGAACGATATCTGAGAAGAATAAAAGTGACAGCGGTTCAAAATAAGCTATCCTAGAAAATATGATACAAAGAGATTACCTATAAATATTTATTCAAAATTTTGGCGTTGTCGACAGTAAAAATAATACTCTAATATGTAGTGTTGTTGACAGTGAAAATAATACCCTTACATGTAGTGTTGTTGACAGTGAAAATAACACCCTAACATGTAGCGTTGTTGGCAGTGAAAATAATACCCCAACATGTAGTGTTGTTGACAGTAAAAATAATATCCTAACATGTAGTGTTGTTGACAGTAAAAATAACACCCTAACATGTAGCGTTGTTGACAGTGAAAATAATACCCAAACATGTAGTGTTGTTGACAGTAAAAATAATATCCTAACATGTAGTGTTGTTGACAGTAAAAATAACACCCTAACATGTAGCGTTGTTGACAGTGAAAATAATACCCCAACATGTAGTGTCGTTGACAGTAAAAATAACACCCTAACATGTAGCGTTGTTGGCAGTGAAAATAACACCCTAACATGTAGTGTTGTTGGCAGTAAAAATAACACCCTAACATGTAGCGTTGTTGGCAGTGAAAATAACACCCTAACATGTAGTGTTGTTGACACACAGTGAAAATAATATCCGAACAGGAAGCAGTCTGTTGGGTTCTGATTGTAGTATTTCTCTGTCTGAATGATGTACTATAGTCTGTTGGGTTCTTTGACGGTAAAAATAATATCTTAACAGGTAGTTTTATGTGACAGCTAAACAAATAGATTGCTTTCTATATTTAATGATCGAGTCGAAATTCGTTGACGCATTAATATCATATTTCCATTATAGTTGACTACTGATGTTAGAGATCAATAGTTGATAAACGTGGGTGAAAACGACATATCAAAAAAGATCTGCTGTTTTAAAAGTATTTACATGTATCATAGTACATCTAATTCTTTAATTTCATAACTTTCATGTGTGACGATTTAAAACTATTCTCCCTGATCATGAATGTATAGTTATCAATAAAATGTAATATATCATTCTAACTGATAAGTGTAGTACGAATGATGTACTATAGTCTGTTGGGTTCTGATTGTAGTATTTCTCTGTCTGTCTGAATGATGTACTATAGTCTGTTGGGTTCTGATTGTCGTATTTCTCTGTCTGAATGATGTACTATAGTCTGTTGGGTTCTGATTGTCGTATTTCTCTGTCTGAATGATGTACTATAGTCTGTTGGGTTCTGATTGTAGTATTTCTCTGTCTGTCTGAATGATGTACTATAGTCTGTTGGGTTCTGATTGTCGTATTTCTCTGTCTGAATGATGTACTATAGTCTGTTGGGTTCTGATTGTAGTATTTCTCTGTCTGAATGATGTACTATAGTCTGTTGGGTTCTGATTGTAGTATTTCTCTGTCTGAATGATGTACTATAGTCTGGTTGGTTCTAATTGTTGTATTTCCTTGTCTGAATGATGTTCTATAATCTGTTGGATTCTGATTGTTTTAACTTGGTTATCAGTAAAGAACATGAAATTACATAATTTGATAGATGGTAGGTGTCAATGACCTGCTGTTTCATCCTATCATGTTCCCGATTCCCTTCGTGTCATTGTTTGAAATAATGTTGATATGTCAGTATTTTGTTTTTGTTTGTTTGTTTGATGTTACGGTCACTGTGGATTAAATAATGTAAACAAAGAAAAACAAACATCTTGATGTGTTTGTAAGTAAATGGAACCTTGGTAGAGGTTCACGTCATGAGGGTAGTACAATGTGTTTATCCGAGAATCAAGAAGCCGAGACTTTGAGAAGTCAGTAGATCGGAAACATATCAAGGATATTTTGAAATCACATGAGTAAGGCTTGATGACTATCATAAAAAAGTATGTGGTGTATGTGTGTGTATGTGTGTTTGTAATTTCGATTACATTTATTAGTGCAAACTTGACACTTTAAATGTGTGCTTACCCATATGATACAGGATGTAAGATTTTTTCACGTGAAGTATTTGGCAAACGTACAAAGAACTAGTGTTTTAAAAGAGTAGCTTCCAGACACTGGTATACAAACATGGTGTGATGCCTGTTCCTCCACGCCTAACAACCTCTTACATAACAATCCCTGTTATAGTCACTGTTACCCCGGTTTTCTCTAATCTTTCTTGGTGTATGATTCAATAGCATTACCTCTACCTTAAACTGACATCACATGGCCCTACTATTTTGATAGTGTTTTACAAAACGACATGACTTGACATAATTATTAATCATAACCCCTGGAGTATCGAGGATGTCTATTTATATGAGTTCGAGATAACGAGGTTCGGCTAACAGCTAAATGACCTCGGTCAAGAACCCATCAGAATAATCAGAACTAAATGATTTTATCACAAATCTACGGTAAACACTTGAATGATGTAATTATGTGACGTATGTACGAATCACCATCATGGAATATTTACAACAATGTCAGACGTGTAATGTTTATAAACAGATATCTATGTATACTCAGTCATGTTCAGTTTATACATTGGTAATATATTCCTGTTTTCAGTTGTGTCATTTCTTCAAAAGTTTCATTAATCACTTTCGCTCTCTACAAAGTGGTCGAAACCCCTGGAGTATCGAGACAGATAATTAGAATACCCCTTTTAATCCGAAGTAGTCAGTGGTCTTGACAAAATTTAACGCTAAACATTCGAGCTTATATTAATCGAATATTCGAACAGTTCGAAGAATTGCCACGGTCGTGTTAACTTCGAGATATCGAATATTCGGATAGTTCGAAGATTTGCCGGATCGCGTTGACTCCGAGATATCGAATATTAGGATAGTTCGAAGATTTGCCACAGTCGCGTCGACTTCAAGATAGTAAGGTTTGACTGTATTGTTAATCAAACTATCAAATGTATCAATATTTTCACGTTTTAAAATTTTGATTTTTCCATGAATGTGTTGCTACTTTCATTACGGCATATGGTACGAGTCTAACCATGGCCCAAGGCCTGACGAGCTCTTGATATTTCGCGTTAACAAATGAAGTGTTGGGAATAAATTGGATTATGTAGAAGATATAGCCGGTGAAATATAACATTATGTGTTTATCAGAAACTCATTTAGATGATCAGGTACCTACAAATGGTTTACATACTGCTGGATTTCACGAACCTTTTCGACTTTATAGGAACTTTGCTGATGGAGGTCGTTTTGGTCGAAACTGATAATGAGATAATTTGGATAAATGTCATACTCACAAATCCTTTCTTCATTAATGGTACTGCCCACAGACCATAACACTCTGTGGAAACTCGCGTACGTCTATTAACAATGATCTTGATATCACACCATATATAAAATCAACCAGTGATTTAAATGTCGACTTACTTAGTGCTTCTAATCATATGCTCTTTTTAATATATTTTTGTTAGTATCACTAATGTCACAGGTTCAGTGACACCTGATCCTACTCTATCTCAGCCAACTAGATCCATTTAAACCAGACAAAACGGAGGTAATATTTATTTCTTATTTCATTGACATAAATGAACATTTAGACGTGAACTTTAATGGAACAGATTTAAATTTTACAGCTATCGTGAGCATCTAGGAGTAGTTTTTAATTCACATGCTGACGAAGTTGGGGGTCATACCGATACCATATATTGTTCTATTGTGAAGAGGAAAAAAATGTCTTACGAAAACTGAAAATATTTCCAAAGTATGAATAGTATTTTTAAAACTCTATATATTTCATTTTGACAGTTTAAGAATAAACTTGTGAACTATGGGATGGTTGTACTAAATTTGCGCATATCAAAAGATGTACATTCAGTTTGAATCAGGTTGGGATACCCTGTCAAATCCTTGATAGCTTAGAAAACTGCAACTTTTATATAAATTGCACAAATTCACTCCAGATTACCTAAACGATATCTGACCATCTACTTTTCCCCGAAGGTAACAGATACAATTGCAGAAATAACAGTGATAATAGAGCTCATTCATTAGGGCTGTCTATTCCAATTTTTGTCTTCGTACCTCCCACTCTCCAATTCTGAAACTTGCAAGATCTATCCCTACAATCGCCGCCTTCCATAGATTTGGTTAAAATCTCATTAAGGTTACATGTAAAACCATCCTTACCTATCTAATTGAGTTTTGAAGAATAAAAGTTTATATAAATGAGGCACAAGTTTCAATAATCTTAAACGTGTCCTTTTCAGGTCTTGTCGAATTATGGTTCAAAATCTGAATGCATTTAACATGGAGTTAAAGATCTACACTAATTTGTGTGTAGACAGTAGACAAGTTGAGAAATATTTTTTATGATATGGTTTTCTTTCTGTGTAGATTTTCTGTATAAAATTAATATTGATAATAAAATATGTTTAAAGAAAGACTAGACACGTGTCAAAGCTTTTACAAAACAGGACTGAATATACATATATGTAGGGTATGGATGAATATTTGTTGATATATATCAGGGCTCTCGATCTGCCAGATTTGGGGCCGAATATCCCAATGCAAAATAGTATCTTTTTTTCCTAATTTAGACCCCAAGTTTTCCCAATTCTAAGGAAAACACCATTATTTTTACCAATTCTAAGGGCTCTGGGCTCCAGTCCCAAAATTGGGTGTGAGAGTCCTGTATATATATATATATTATGTCTATAAACAGTATATAACTCTGTATGCTTCATACTATTTTGACAAACAGGATATGACTGAATATGTATCATACTATTTCTATAACAGGATATGACTGAATATGTATCATACTATTTCTATAACAGGATATGACTGAATATGTATCATACTATTTCTATAACAGGACATGAGTGAATGTGCATTATGGCTGCCAGACAATACAATATGATTAATATATATGACTTACGTGGATGAATGCGTAACACATGATTTTTATTAATGATTGAGATTTGAGCCGGATGTTTACTCGCCATATATTTAGGTTAGGTTCATTATACAATTTTTATGATGTCGATACATATCACGTGTACACCTTTAACGAGCACACATGACTGAATGAAAAAATAGTGAGATAGGTATCATATTTCTATGATGATATAATTAAACAGGTACTGCCGTGCATGTATTATTACTTTTTAAAAAAAAAAGACGTATATACGTTACCAGTGGCATAAGGATGAACTGTGATGCAAGGCCCGTCAGTGGAGCGATCGGTGTCCGCAGGGTTTCCTTCACCACCTGAACATCTGTTTTACACCCCATGGCGATATTGGCCACACAAACCAGCACAATCACGGATGCCTGAAAGATTTTGTTGAGAACACCCTCATATTTTTTCACGACAACGTCCAGAACCACCGGTAATTCGTACCACGAGTTACCTCCCTTACTCTGTGTCGACGAGACGGTCCCATTGAGTTTTCTGTTTACCTGAAATGTTAGGGAAGCACGTCCGAGAAAAATACCCTTCACTGTTATATTAGGTATCACAGACACCCCTCCGACGACACGGTGTTCTATTTCGCCAATCAAGTCAACGACTTTTGTGTCCGTTGATGTTGTATAAATACTGGCACTTTCGGAACTGTGCACAGTAAAGTTGTACGTGATCATCCGTTCCTCTCTCTCTGATAACAACAGATTTCCATCTCCATGTGGTTCCACAAATTCAAGTTCCCAGTTTTGTCCATTGACACACTGTATCAAAATACCGATGAAGAAAATCGCTAAATTCATAATGGCACACTTGAAACACGTTGGCTAGCCATTTGATGCAGAAACCCTACGTGACCTGGATACCAAGTGAAGGTCGCACACACACACGTGTGTACATATATGCTCGGTCTTATGTAAACAAAACAAGGAGGATTCAGGAGGGGACACTCGGAAGGTCTCGGAAGTCTCCATTGATATAATGCAATTTCTCATCAACCATATGACGTCCTTAGTGTTTCGTTATTATCTAATAAAACGTAGTATACCTTCGTATCAGATAGAATGTTTAAAAACTTTGACACTTGAACATTAATATTTATAAATGATTGATGAAAGCTAAATCAGAACTCCCTCACTGGGTTTTATGATACAATATTTACATTTTATAAATGAACATTTACACTTCGCATATCAAGCATGTAGTTTGCTTGTAATAATGAGAATTTCACTCGTCGTCTGAGTTTATCATATTTAAGAGAAAAAAATAGTTTAATTAATAAAATTGTAAAGAAATATGAAATTTTATTTTTGGAACGAGGCTATTTTATGTGTTGGCTTCGTTTACATACTTGGATCTCTCAGAATTTAACACTTAGAGAAATGCCAAAGTGAATACAAATGAGCAGAAAAATGGGTAATTTTTTTTTTAATCATTGCTAACCTAGAGGAAATAAGAGATGAGAAGAAAAGGCTGGATATGTGAGCTGTGAGAGGTTGTTTTATTAACTTGAAAAATTTCAAGGATAATCAGGTGTTAACGTTTTAGGATGAAGGTGAACAATCTTTTTTCCATTTACTCCAGAAAATTCTATTTTTTCTTTCTAAAATTCATTATTATTATTTATCATATATATCTGTAATTTGTGGTAATCTTTCACATTCAAAGCGTTGACATTTACAGACTTGTTAAGGCATTTGTTTCTATAGATATATTGTTTATTATCATATTATCAGCATTCAAATTAAGGCTTCTGTCGTAAACCCGAAGAGGAAGGATTGTTTGTTGATTGAAAAGGGTATATAAAGAGCATGTAGGAGTGTTTCTAGACTTTGTAGCAGATTTTGTACCTCCTGGCATTCCCACATCCAATGATTTACAGTTTCCTTCTGTGAAAAGCAAAAGGAACAGTCAGTTAGCAACTACACCTACTTTGAATAGTTTTTAATTTGTGGTAAGAATATGGTGTGATATTCGAAATTGAAGCCATTGAAATTTAGTATTTTTTGTGACTTTATAAGGTATTGTATAAATTTCATTCCATTGTCTGTCATCAAACAAGAATTGCCATTTTACTCTACCAGTATTAACATATCATTTCGAATGAAAACGTTGTAAAACAGATGGATCCACAAGTATTTTGCAAGAAGATTTTTATACGTGGAGGTAAAATAGGGCGAATAATTGGTTTCCTATTTGGTAACGGGTTTGACAGAAACTTAATAATTGCAGATATTAATCTATGAGCTCGAACAAAATTTGTGTCAGTTTGATATTTTCAGGAAGGATATAAATAAATGATTGATACAAACTTTATTCACCTCATTCATTATATAAGCAGTGTACAGTTGCCATCAAAACATATCAAATGAATTAGATACGGAAGTGTTGAAACGCTTATATTAATCCGCTATTTAATGAAGCTACAGCCATTTTACCAAACTTTCCTTTATTAACTTCGTGTGAAAAATTTGTAAGGTTAATGGAGATGCCGGATATTCAGTTTTTATTAGCCAAAACAGTCTTTTTAATGCTTAAGTACCGGCGCTCACTTGTGTAGGAAATATCAGTATATTTTGACTAGGTCTACATGTAATTATCAATACAGGACATTATAATCGTAACTTTTATTGTTTTAACCATAACTTTAATGCTTAACTATATAGTGTCTCATAAGCCGATATCGGCTGGGTATCACTTTTATTAATAACTGTTCAATATTGTTTTTATTACTATGTACTGTGATATGTGACACTGAAATAAAATATATTGATTGATTTGATTGATAAAACCGGGCTATCAGTAATGACGTAATAATGTAAATCTTATCAATAGGAGCTTATTTCCTTTTTCCGTTAATAAATTAGACTTTTCAATAAAACAATTTTTTAACAGTTTGATAAAGTTGTTTAAACTTACGTTAAATTCTATGCCAAGCAGAATAAATGTATCTCCTCTGTCCCACAGCAGGTTAAACCCGGGAACATTTGGCCTTTACTGTATTTCTTGTTAACAGTCCAGATTATTTCAGTTGTATCAACATTTATTTTGACGTCGGATATTTACAAATCTGTTATGAGAGTTTCATGAAGTGATTTCTCTGATCCATCTAGCACAAGAAATGTATCGTCTGCATATTGAGATATTAGGGTTTCAAAAGTATATGTCTTAATTTGTTTAATATGACTGTTTCCTTAAACTTAAAACTATAATTTCTGCATATATAATAGAGATATAAGTTAAGGGTTAGAGGAGTGGGGGGGGGGGGGGGGGGCAATTGGGTCACCTTGATGACAAAATATTTTAATTTTGAAATGTGCAGATAAGTTCCCTCTTTGATTTAATTGTAGATGAAACATTGTTATGTTATTAAACTTATTAAGCCATCTTACAATATCGTCAAAGCAGCAGATAATAAAAATTCATATCGAATGCTTTTCCAAAATCTATCGTCAAAATCACCAAGATATATCAGTTTCTAACGGAAGCGTATTCCGGCCACGTTGTGTTTTATTTTCTCTCTAAATTTCGAGATAGTAACTCAAAATTTTGAGTTAGTAACTCGAAATTTCGAGATAGCAACTAAAAATTTTGAGTTGGTAAGTCGAACCCGAAATTTCGAGATAACAACTCGAAATTTCGGATTACTAACTCGAAATTTCGAGATAACAACTCGAAATTTCGACTTCATAACTCGAAATTTCTAGTTTCTATCTCGAAATTTCGGGTTAATATCCCAAAATTTCGGATTACTAACTCGAAATTTCGAGTTAAAATAAAACACAACCTGGCCAGAATACGCTTCCGTACTTTCTTCAGAAAATTTCATAATATCATATAACAAGCGTGTATTCTCCCCAATATACCTTCCTGATAAACACCCAGTCTGGTCATAACTAATGCTCTTATTAGGAACCATTCTGTGTGAGATAACCCCTGATGCTATTTTAGATGATATATTCAGGAATGATATTGGACGCCAGTGTTTTAAGAAATGTCTTGGTTTATCACGTTTTGGAATGAATCTTATTACTCCTTAACGCTGAGTTACTGGTAGTTTACATTTTAAAATGTCAAAATTTAGTGATCTTACTACAAATTTACCAGTTCTATTCCAGGAAAAAAATGAAAAAAAATTCATTGTGAATCTACCAGATACTGGGCGTTTATTATTTTTCATATTTTTCAAAAACATGCTTGCTTCTTTGAGAGATATTTTACTTTCTAGAGATTTTGATTCTGACTCTGTGAGTTTGGGTACGTCATCAAAATGAAGATACTTTTCAAGGCCAATGTCATTTCAGTTTTAATTATCTTGACATAGGGTTTTTTTATATCCGATATTCTCTAAACTTTTGTCTTGGTTATCAATAATTGATCTCATGATAATTTCTTTTATTAAGACGAATAGTTTCTAGTGCTTTCCTACCAATGTCAATTATACATCAATATTTTCCTGGGTTTCTAAATACTGTATGGACTCGATCAAGTCATTTTCTCTCAAATATATCTGTTTTTGTGAGAAAAGTAAGACATTGTTTTACCTCTAATTTCCAATTAAAGAGTTTCAAGAAATAATTGATCATCGATGTTAAACTGTATATCTTCATCATCTTTAAAATTTATCTGATTGTGATTATAAACAGGTAAACTATATAGTATTTTTGTATCGGTAATAGTATCATTAACTAAGTTAGCATATTCTGAATTTAAAAGAAGAGAAAACTCCCAGATACCATTTCCCTTATTAATTGCATTAAATTTCAAAATTATTTTCAGGAATGAATGACCTGACTTGTAGTTGGGTTCTATGAGGAAAGAAGTTAAAACAAGGCAATGAACCTTTATTTATTGAGAAAAAGTCTAACCTAGATTGTTTCAGAGAATCTACTTTCCTCCAGGTGTATCTACTTTAATTCGGACGATATTCTCTAAAATGTCAAATTAATTTATAACATTTTAAACTTTATCTCGAACATTTGGGCTATTCACACTTTTGTATGTTTTATCATAACCAACCTCTGGACTAAAAACAAGATAAAAAATACCCACAGATGATGCATCTGTTATTACTAAACTCCTCGATAGTATCTGCTACAATATCTTAGACAGAAATATCATCTTTATTTGGACCATATTTTGTTATCATGGTCAAACTCACAGAATCAATATTTATCTCTACAGATGGTAAATTTCCACTTGGATCCGTCTTGAATTTTTAAATTTAAATTCAGAACTGTTATTAAAAATTGACAACCCTCTGGCATTTGATTTATAAAAGTTAAAAAAGACAGTATTTGTATTCTCATTCAGTTCTTACTCTGTCTTCTAGTTCTGCAGTAAAATGTGTGTCCTAAAGAGAACAAAATCTTTACTTTTCATAAAATCACCTTAGCCTTGAAATTTGAAGGAAAATGCCGGTATCACCAATGTATGACAGAATCACATTGATAGGATATGCCACATCTCATGAAAAATAGAAAAAAAATATGACGAAGAGAGAGAGAAATGCTTAGAAGTACTGGTTCACTCACCCACGCAGACACAACACACCACATATCATTGAATCGGTGAATTTCTGCCGCTATATTGACCTGTGATAAAGAAGTTTATTTGTTTCATGAGTTTAACACCCCGTGAACAACCAGGATCATTTTGAGACAGAGTTTATGTGGTAGTAGCCAGTGGCTACTTCAATGATCAAGATGTGTATCCTGAGCAATGAGGCTGACGTAACTTGTATAAGTACACACTCACGACAACACTGATTGGTCCGTTTCTCAGTTTCCCAGAAAACACAAACTGTCCCTGCCAGTACTAATTTTCAGTTATAACTAGATTTCAAAGCAGTTCAAATGAATATCTATGTTTTTCTGATGATAAATTGCTTTGTTTAAAACGTGTCTTTTCGTTCCCATCATACCGATATTCCACTTTGAACAGAAAAAGCTGTGACTAATTACAGTGTACGACATATAATAAGGCACATTAATGAATATGACAAAATAAATATGACACAATCGGTTTTTGAAAGTTTTATTTGATTGCATAAATCAAGGTATAACGTTAACATGTTATGAAAAAGTACCAAAATATACTGTATGATAGCTGCATATATTCACGCGACATCCAACTCGACTCGTCGGTTTCTTCAAATATCACATATCAAAGTCGACCTCACCTGGGTTCGCCTCTCAGGTGTCTCAGTCGACCTCACCTGGGTTCGCCTCTCAGGTGTCTCAGTCGACCTCACCTGGGTTCGCCTCTCAGGTGTCTCAGCCGACCTCACCTGGACCCGCCTCTCAGGTGTCTCAGCCGACCTCACCTGGTCCCGCCTCTCAGGTGTCTCAGCCGACCTCACCTGGTCCCGCCTCTCAGGTGGCTCAGCCAAAATTACCTGGACCCGTCTCAGATATCAAACCCAACCTCACTTGAAATCATTCCGTCAGATATCACATCCGACCTTACCTTAACCCGCCTATCGTATATTACACCTAACATTACCCAGGTTCGCTCCTCAGAATCTCACCTGACCTCATGTACACCAATCCCTCACAGATATCACACAAAACCTCACGTGGACTTGCCCTCTCAAATATCAAACACAACCTTACTTGGAACCATTCGTCAGATATCACTCCCGATCTCACCACGACCCGATCCCTTCGATATATCACACGACCTTGTCTGAACACATTCCCTCCGAACACACCTGGACAAGCTCCCTCTGATATCACACTCGAACTCACCTGGACAAGCTCCCTCTGATATCACACTCGTACTCACCTGGACAAGCCCCCTCTGATATCACACTCAAACTCACCTGGACAAGCCCCCTCTGATATCACACTCAAACTTACCTGGACAAGCTCCTTCTGATATCACACTCGAACTCACCTGGACAAGCTCCTTCCGATATCACACTCGTACTCACCTGGACAAGCCCCCTCTGATATCACACTCAAACTTACCTGGACAAGCCCCCTCTGATATCACACTCGAACTCACCTGGACAAGCCCCCTCTGATATCACACTCGAACTCACCTGGACAAGCCCCTCTGAATTACACTCGAACTCACCTGAACCCGCCCGCTCCGACTCAATGCACTCCTATCGAGTATTATCAACTAAAGCGAGAAGACGAATTATATAATTCAACAGCAAATGAGCAGAATAAACAAAATATATACATAAAAAAAATACTTTTTTAAAACATTTCATTGTTTTTTCTGTCCTGAATATGAAAGCTAAATATCTTTTATAACATATTAAGTAATTATATGATACAGTATGAATCTGCCACTGTTCAATCCGAGTATATATGCTCTAAGTTATAGCGTTCTTTTCGTAAGAACCGTTACACATACTGCGTATACTTCTTTCACTTGATAATTCGTAACCTAGCCAACTGGAAAACCTTAAAGAACACACACCAGCTTCTTGATTATTGTGACATCAATCATCATTTCAGGATCATGTGACGTCACTCAAATCGAAAGTGATTACCTAATGACGTCATTCTTGAGGTAGTTTCAACACCCTGTGACGTCTGTCAATATTGAGATCATTTCACGACCTAGTAACGTCACTACAGAGAAAATTTTACAAGGTTTTGGCGTCATTCCAATCAAATGTAATTTTAAGAAATTTGAATCAGAAGTAATTTTACGACCTTGTTATTTTAGAGGTAGTTTCACCATCATATGAAGTCACTCCAGTAAGTGGCAGTTTCATTATCTTTAAATACGTCCCTTTAGAGATAGACTTCACCTTGTGACACTACTTTGTGACGTCACCCCAATTAAAGCTATTGTCACCACCTTATGACGTCAGTTAAATCAGGACGTCACAGCTGCGCTGCGCTATTCCCATATAATGTTGTGCCATGTTGTGTGCTGTCTTCTTGTATCTGCTTTAAATAACTTTTCTAGCAAGTTAATCAAAATACCTTGAATTAAGAACCTACCCAACCAACACAAATGTGCCCTTCATCCATTATATAACCCTGCTGGATTTAAATTCCCCATTAAAAATATCTATGTATATATATATATAATTAGGTTCCTATGGCGAAACTAAACGTTCGACTCTTTTGCTTTCTCAAGTGCTTCTGGAGTGATGTTGCCGTTGATTTCGTGTTCTGGCTCGTTCGTTTCTTCATCTTTCTGTGTAACTTTCTGATATTTTTCTGGGTTACATTTTTTGTATATAACAAATATAATGGTTATAACAAAAAGAGGGAGTGGCGTCATCACTGCAGAAGCAGCTGGAGCGACTGCCGCTAGTTGTCCATCTGGTGGGGGGAACGCAAACAGCAGAATGATGAAGGCTAGACCTGTATTCTGCATCCCTGTTTCTATGGCAATTGTCTTGACTTTTACCCAAGGTTGTCTCAGAACAAATGCGATGATACCTCCAATTACATAACCAAAATACGGTAAAAGACAGCCCGCGAGAATCACTTTAGGATTGAAGAGTTTGAATATAAACAAGTTTGAATATATTCCAACCGAGAGAAGAATAATAATGGCTACTATGGTTACAGGTGTGACGACTTTGAGGATAAATCTCTTGACCTTCGGAAGTTTAAACTGTATGCCGATGCCAACAAGAAGTGGAATGATGAGGAGGAGGAGAGTTGTGAAGATGTTGAAAAATGGCACGTTCAACTTTTTCTCGTCGTCTTGAAGGAATTCTTGACCTAACGTGTAAATCCACAGTGGCAGGAAACCTACAAGATATAGACAAGATATTGAAAAACAACAGTTGTCCAGAAGAAGGAGCCCGTTTTCGGAAAAGGAAACAACTGGGCCTTTAAGCTAGATATAAACTTTAATTTTATAGACGTAAGTTACATATCTAAGTTTTCTTTCTGGCTAATGAATGTGTCATTTGTTTGACCCTGGATTTGTTTTCTTACTTTTGACGTCGAAGAGAGAAAAATGTCGACACCGTGTCTGATATTATGCCGACTGTGTGTCTAATGTAATGACACATTATTTCTCAAATTTCATATATCTAATTGAAATTTCTGGTAATAAAGATGGATATTCTTGTTCAAGGAGAAGTTTGAATTCTATGATCCTAGTTATATAGCGGTTTGACTGTAATATAATGAAAACATTCAAGTCATATTGAAGTTTGAATTCCGTTAAAATTTCTGGGTAATATTGAGGTTCATATTTCAAAATACAAATTCCTGGTCATAGAAGAGGGTTAAATTCTATGGAAATTCCTGGTTATGTAGAAATTTAATTTTTATAAAAAGCCCTAATCATACTGAGGCTTGAGTTCTGAAATTCTTAGATGTTCTTAATGTACATTTCTAAGTGTTCATTATTAGCCGTTATCAATTGAACATCTAGGACGAATGTGTGTGATAGTTTTGTGTATTTCCGAAGGTCAATATTGCACTAGAACAGGAAGCCACGTGCTGAGTAGTTATCTAGTGAAAATGTTTACATTGTTTATTAATACTATTATTTATTTCCATGGTGATATATATACCAGGTAAAACCACGTGACATACCTATTGCGGTCATGGTGCTGACGAGGGTCATGGTGATTGACAATGACAGGTCACCATCAAGGAGGTGAGAATATATATTGCTTGCTCCTCCTCCAGGACAACATCCAGCAAGAAATATTCCAAGTGCCACGGAGGGTTGATCGGACGCAACAAGTTTAGCGATGGCATACCCCAGCTGAAAAGGAAGGGGAGATAATCATATAACAGACAAGGTACAATAATTTGCTGATCGAGCTGTTTTAAGTTTTGATTTTTGCACGTATCTACCGTATTATCTAACATAAATATACAAACTTCGGCAAGGAATACGGGAAGTTTTTAACCAACATAAAAACGTTTAACGCTTTTTAGTGTTCAATCTACGTGAAATCGATGCAACAATTGATTAACCAGAGAAGAATCAGTACATGACGTCATCTGACTCAACAAAACCTCCAGTCACATACGTCATATTCATTGTGTGTTTGGGGTTGGAGGTGGGGGTTGAATGCCATTAAGTCAGCTTTCCGAAGGAATGGCAACAGAAAAGTCGTTGATAGGACAAAAGGAAAAAGGAAAGTTATCTGAATATATCAAAGTCAAATTTTGTCGCGTCAATGGTAGCTTGATCAACTTTCGATAGATCAACATGTAATCTCAATGATACATTAGTCAAATTAAGCGTCGTACGACAGATTCACGGAAAGATCATTTGGATGTCGTTTACTTTTATAGGCAGTTTCTGGTATGTCAACGCTTATTATATATTTTTATCTTAATTGTATTTTATATCAAATGGCATTTGATTAACGTCCACTTTCTCATCAGACATTGGTTTTGATGTCACTGAGGAAATATCCGGTATGTTATAGAAACAAGCGTTACAAAATACGCCCGTCCGAAGTTGAGCAACCATAACTGGATGGATTTCAGGTGGATAATTTTGGTTTCTAGGTTGTAAGATTGATTTCCAAGATTATCTTCTGAATTTCTATGAAGTTTCAAATTAATAAATGAAAAATTACTCATGTTATTGAGGGGAAACCTATTTTTCAAATGTACCAAGGGCCATAACTCTGTAAATAATGGGCGAAAAATGTTGGTTATATAAGTTGACCTGGCTTTTATGGTAATAAACATTCATGTGACGTTTCAAATTAATCTGTAAAAAATTATTCAAGTTATCTAACGGAAACCTATGTGCGGCCGCCCGCCCGCGTGAAAGCAGCGTATAAAAATATCTGCTTTTTTGCTGATTGGGCTTAAGAATTGACCCTGCTGTCCCCATTAAATGACAGTAAGACTTTTATGTTTGGAATCAAGTTGTTTAGTTGAACTTTCGTAATGTGAGAAAAGTTTTGGGTTCTGTCCCTTGACTTAGACACACCAGAATCTATAAAAATGGTAGTTTATAATAATGTAAGGATTGGTCTACCCGTTTGCAGTATAATGTGACCGGATGGGGGGTTCTGTTGGGGGCCTTCAGCAATATACTTCGATGTGAAAGTCGACATCAGTTGAGCACGATTACAGTTAGGTTTACATAAACATACCACAGTCTCCCATATAAAGGAAACAAATCAACGAAACAAACTTTCATGCCTCTTGTTCGTGTTAGATATTGGTGTTTATCACAGAAACACTCTGTAAACACGTGACATGATCCCCGTGTATAAAGTGTAATGTACACATTACCCATATAACGTGCTCTACCTGGTCAGCGATATATGGTGTGTTTATAATGGGTCAGTACTTCACATGCATATCGTATCAACATGTACTAGTCAAGGTCAGCAATATGTTGGTAAACATTGTGTTATGACATCAACACTTCCAATGTTTGTCTGATAGTCATGTCAAGTTTGGGAGTTGTCGCCATTTTTGTTTTTCAACAAGTAACGTGACCAGTACATTCAGAAGTTGTTTTATCTTTAATTAAGGTACATGTAGAAGTTGTGTTACCTGTAATTAAGGTATATTTAGAAGTTGTGTTACCTGTAATTAAGGTACATTTAGAAGTTGTGTTACCTGTAATTGAGGTACATAAAGAAATTGTATTACGTGTAAATGAGGTACATTTAGAATAGCTTTTACAGCAAATGTGTTATAGAAAAAGTACTGAGCTTACAGTACAGTAATTGAGCTAACTGAAAAAATATATGGGGCTAAAATCTGAGTTTAACACTCGTATAAAAACTAAAGTGCTTACAGAGCAAACTTATCAATCTCACAGGAAAAGTGTAATATTGCGCTAAGAGCAAATCTGCTACGCCTACAACAAGAATACTGCATTTATATGGATAGTAAAGCGCTTGTAGCGCTTCACTTGGAGTTTTAGGATTACACCTTAAGCAAAATTGTGGCGTTTACGGCAAAAGTGCTACGCTCCCAGGAAATAAGCTACGGTTACAGCAAAAGTGCTACGCTCCCAGGAAATAAATAACGATCACAGCAAAAGTGCTACGCTCCCAGGAAATAAGCTACGGTTACAGCAAATGTACTACGCTTACAGAAAATAAGTTACGGTTACAGCAAATGTACTACGCTTAGAGAAAATAAGCAACGCTTACAAAAAAAGTGTAAAAACAGTAACAAATAATTCACAGCGAAAATACATTTGAGCTACGTTTACAAATCACATTGTAATGCCGTGCACCATATTACATAAATTAGTACGACACTCTATTATGTAGACTTAAATACAATCTAGGTGAGCCTGTCGACAAAAGGACGACGGGATACCGCGATTGCACAAATAATTGAAATATTATACCTAATGTCAGATAGAGGTTGCGCCTATATAATGTAGAACACAAACTAGGCAAGACATGCACAGATGTAGGTCTTTTTGTATGTGTCGGCATGTGGTTAGTAAGTCAATTAGGGATGTGTACTTTCCCATAACGATGTAAAGTGTCTCGTAATATAACATGTCTATACCTGTGTAAATCGTCAACAATAAGATTACTTGACTAATACAGTATTCATAGATTTTCTAGATGTCAAAAAGGAGCTGCCGAGGAGGGGCTATCAGAAAAACGTTTATTTATAATCATTATTATTAGGGGATTAACGTCCTCTATTATGGCCTTTAGGCCTTTCAAAGGACGAGAAAAGATAGGAGTGAGTAGAAGGGGAGAAAGTATGTAGTGAGAGGAAGGGAAGGGGAAGATAGGAGAGAGAGAGAGAGGGGGGGGGGGGGGGGGGGGGGGGGGGGGGTGGGGGTGGGGGTTGAGTCGCCTGTACCTAACACCTAACCTAAGCATGGTAACATAGAATTTTGTAGGCGACTCCGGTGGCCTAATGTGTCCCTAACCGACTTTGCGTCTATTTATACCATCTTAGGAACAATTAGTGCTATTTATACCCATCTTAGGAACAATCAGTACTATTTATACCCATCTTAGGTACAATCAGTACTATTTATACCCATCTTAGGTACAATCAGTACTATTTATACCCATCTTAGGAACAATCAGTACTATTTATACCCATCTTAGGAACAATCAGTACTATTTATACCCATCTTAGGAACAATCAGTACTATCTATACCATCTTAGGAACAATCAGTATTATTTATACCATCTGAGGAACAATCAGTACTATTTATACCCATCTTAGGAACAATCAGTACTATCTATACCATCTTAGGAACAATCAGTACTATTAATACCCATCTTAGGAACAATCAGTACTATTTATACCATCTTAGGAACAATCAGTACTATATATACCCATCTTAGGAACAATTAGTATTATCTATACCATCTTAGGAACAATCAGTACTATTTACACCCATCTTAAACATCCCATACTGGAGAAGCTACTTACTAGCGGCATGACTAAGTATTGACATCCCAGTCCAATGCATACAGCTATTGGTTTCTTGATGGATTCCTTGACCACTTTTAAGTCCAGTTTACAACCAAACGCCAATGTGATGAAGATGAGGAAACAATACACGACGACCTGTACCACTCGATCAAGAACTTTCACCTTTCGATTGATTACAAATGTGAACGACAACTGGCCTGCAATGTCATCTTCGCTGATGGATTCATTTTCCGGACTTGACCGACGAACGGTAATGACCAAATCTGACCGTCCAAGCAGGACTCCAGACAGCTGTAACTTGACCGTATCCGATTGGACAAACTCAGTGGGTTGGTCCGTCTTCGAAGACAATAGTGGCATTGGAGTAGTGGACGTATTCCCAAGGCTAACAACAGTTTCTGTTGCATTTTCACATGAAATCAGAACATGGTCCGGAGCGAGGACGAAGAACCTATTAGGGTTATCACTGCGGAAGTTAAGCAGGACTTTCTCAGTTACTCTATCACAGACAAGTCTGTAAGACATAGAAACAGTCTTCACTTCATCCATAAAAAGAAAATAGTCCGTAGGGCTTCCAAAAAAGGCACTAAACCCTTTAAGGGATTCTGTATCTGTATCATTGATACCCATCCCGGGAGGGGCGTATTCGGGCTCGACACCCTCGCACATCCCGATCACCACGCATAGACAGATAACCACCAGCTTGTAATCCATGGCCGTGACTGATTCAGTGTGTCACCTGTGTGGATGTTTGTAGTGAAATTGGGTGATCCATGAACTTGTTTGAAAACAAGCTAACTAACTGTCTTTTGTTGTGTTAAGGGTTTATAAAGTAGGACGGTAAGCGGTAGACATGTATACGGCAGATTTATATTACACTTACCGAGATAACTCTAGGATTACCCACCATGAACATTTGTGTCCTCAGGAAGCTAAACAGTTGGTATATCCGATTCCAGACTTGCTATATCGTGAATGCACTGCCACTAGGGCAATGTCTAAGCCAGGGTCGTCTCATTTCGGTTAGATATAGCGTGCTACACAATCTACCTGTGATCTGTTCGAGATATCTTTTTCTTATGCAATCTACATCTGTACGTGTAATCTGTGTTGGGATAAGTTGGATATATATTAATGTTTTCCATCTCAGTCTGTTTTGATTTTACACTTTTCAACTGGGGCATTTGTAAAACAAAAACAAAAAAACAAAAACAAATTTACAAAAATAAATTTACATAACCGAAATTGTTTTACAAAATGTGATTTTAATATTAGTGTAACCCAGATACAAAAGTCGAGAAATCTTGGTGGGATTAATTTTATCAATACGTAATATCTAGTGGGCGGGATGTGAAAATGCACACCTACATGCTGTAACTGTATTTACAGTGGTCAACACTGCTATCTACTAATCTTATTAGTCTATACTATTGACAAACAAGTCCACCCTGATATAAAATTCAACCAATGGGCTTTTGGATCGTGGCGTTACCATGACGAGATCTAAGGGAATAGGGATAAAAGGAGGGGAGTTTTTGGGTGGGGGAGAGAGCTCAACTGGACAAGACTCAGCGTCAGATCTACACTCGAATTGCCAATAAAACTACGAGACCATCCATTGTCGTTCAGCTTGTTGTGTAACAAGTGCTGTATCATTTTAAAGCTGCGTGCCCTTAAAGGCGTGCCCAAAATCTAGAAAAAACGTTTTACTTGACTGTCTTTTATCAACAGATACGTCATCACATCTCCAAAACGATCATTTGATCAAGAAGAGTAACTACTTAACAAGACATGCTGGGAATGTAAATGATATCGAGAATAGCCACCATACTTCTGGTACAATTCTTGTACCCGTCGTCTCATCCCTCTGCCATTTCTAAATCATTGCACTCCGTCTTTCTACCATTGCTTAGTATTTTTGTGCGACCCATGCCTAATAGTGTTCATGTCTTGTTTACACTAGGTGTGGTTCGGCATCGCCGTCCATTAGGATAGGCTGGTCTGCCAATGGTTGGGTATCTCTCTGCTGGACAACTAGAGGTCGAAGAATTTTATTAAAGTTCTGCGCATTTAAATTTCTAGCAAGGCCATACATGCGAAGCTTACAGTTTAGGGAAAATCATCCCCAAACAGTAACAGTAACACTACCTAATGTCGTTGTGTCCAAAATGTGATCCAGATAGGATGTCCTATTTATGAGTCTCCAAACAAGGACAGTGCTGTCTGTCAGACCAGAACCTATCTAAAGAATCACCAGACAAAATATTAACGCTTGTTTTTTTATGATTCAGCACAAGACCATTTGTAGATAAAATTTAGTGCAAAAGATCATGTATTTGTACTGTGAGTTTGTTACTTCACAGAAGATCATGTATTTGTACTGTGTGTTTGTTACTCTACAGAATATCATGTATTTGTACCGTGTGTTGTTACTTCACAGAAGATCATGTATTTATACTGTGTGTCGTTACTTCACAGATGATCATGTATTTGTACTGTGTGTCGTTACTTCACAGAAGATCATATATTTGTACTGTGTTTGTTACTATACAGAAGATCATGTATTTGTACTGTGTGTTTGTTACTTTACAGAAGATAATGTATTTATACTATGTGTTTGTTACTTTACAGAAGATCGTGTATTTATACTGTGTGTCGTTACTTTACAGAATATCATGTATTTGTACTGTGTTTGTTACTTTACAGAAGATCATGTATTTGTACTGTGTGTTTGTTACTTCACAGAAGATCATGTATTTGTACTGTGTGTTTGTTACTTCACAGAAGATCATGTATTTGTACTGTGTGTTTGTTACTCTATAAAAGATCATGTATTTGTACTGTGTGTTTGTTACTTCACAGAAGATCATGTATTTGTACTGTGTGTTTGTTACTTCACAGTAGATCATGTATTTGTACTGTGTGTTTGTTACTTCACAGAAGATCATGTATTTGTACTGTGTGTTTGTTACTTTACAGAAGATCATGTATTTGTACTGTGTGTTTGTTACTTCACAGAATATCATGTATTTGTATTGTGTGTTGTTACTCTACAGAAGATCATGTATTTATACTGTGTGTTTGTTACTCTATAAAAGATCATGTATTTGTACTGTGTGTTTGTTACTATACAGAAGATCATGTATTTGTACTGTGTGTTTGTTACTTCACAGAAGATCATGTATTTGTACTGTGTGTTTGTTACTATACAGAAGATCATGTATTTGTACTATGTTTGTTACTTCACAGAAGATCATGTATTTGTACTGTGTGTTGTTACTCTACAGAAGATCATGTATTTATACTGTGTGTTTGTTACTCTATAAAAGATCATGTATTTGTACTGTGTGTTTGTTACTATACAGAAGATCATGTATTTGTACTGTGTGTTTGTTACTTCACAGAAGATCATGTATTTGTACTGTATGTTTGTTACTATACAGAAGATCATGTATTTGTACTATGTTTGTTACTTCACAGAAGATCATGTATTTGTACTGTGTGTTTCTTACTCTACAGAAGATCATGTATTTGTACTGTGTGTTTGTTACTCTACAGCATATCATGTATTTGTACTGTGTGTTTGTTACTTTACAGTAGATCATGTATTTGTACTGTGTGTTTGTTACTCTACAGAATATCATGTATTTGTACTGTGTGTTTGTTACTTTACAGAAGATCATGTATTTGTACTGTGTGTTTGTTACTTCACAGAAGATCATGTATTTGTACTGTATGTTTGTTACTATACAGAAGATCATGTATTTGTACTATGTTTGTTACTTCATAGAAGATCATGTATTTGTACTGTGTTTTTGTTACTTCACAGAAGATCATGTATTTCTACTATGTGTTGTTACTATACAGAAGATCATGTATTTGTACTATGTGTTGTTACTATACAGAAGATCATGTATTTGTACTATGTTTGTTACTTCACAGAAGATCATGTATTTGCACTGTGTGTTTGTTACTTTACAGAAGTTCATGTATTTGTACTGTGTATTTGTTACTTTACAAAAGATCATATATTTGTACTGTGTGTTTGTTACTCTTCAGAAGGCCATGTATTTGTACTTTGAGTATTACTTTACAGAAGATCATATATTTGTACTGTGTTTGTTACTCTACAGAAGATAATGTATTTGTACTGTGTGTTTGTTACTTTACAGACGATCACGTATTTGTACCGTGTGTTGTTACTCTTCAGAAGATCATGTATTTGTACTTTGTATTTGTGCTGACCCCGACATGATAACCAACAAATTTGTAGAGTTGTCAGGCTTTATTGTCGTACCGGATACTGCTGATATTTATATATCTATATATAGTAAAAGCTGGAACAGATACAAACAGTTCATTAAACTTATGTTTTAATTTGATTGACACTTAATTAAAGTTAATAAGATTCTAGAAAATTGGAAATTATTATTTGATTCTGAGTAAAATGTAAACATTAAAAAATATCAGAAATATGAAAGAATTATGAGCACACGCAGATGCACTTAAAACCACACGTTTAGTTACTTAGAAAGATTGAAAGCGGTATGAGTCAACTAGCACAACTTTTAAAATACGAGCATATGGAACTTTGCATTATGCTACAGTGAATAACTAGGTCAACTGGTACACTGCTTAACGAGTGTCACATAAACAAACTCAAAATTGAAAATAAGTGCATGCAGATGCGTAAACTACGTACGCATTAATTCAACAGAAGGTTGGGAAATATGAAAAATAATACGATCGCATGATCTGAACAAATACTTACACAGTATGGGCCACATTTAATTGTCTCGGACAAACATATCAACATTCGTCTCAACGTCGGAGGGAACGCGAGGTATTCAGGGGGAGATAACTCTACTGCACTTACTAAACAGTAGTTGGAACACTACTAAAAACTGGCAAGGGCAGAACACTCCTCGCCTGATATAAACATATCACCCTACAACAATCTGAAGAATAACTATAACATCAAACTCGAAAACGATCACGTTGTGCACGTGATCAAAAGGCAGGTACAAGAACCCCCATACTATACTACTTATGGAGTAAATATCTACATATGAAAAAACAGGATCTTCCTCCTCAGAAAATCAAACTTAACTGATCTAACGATGCAAAAATGGTTAATACTGATATTCTGACTAGAATCTCGCATTTGAAAAGTTTATTCGTCTGAAACTAGTACTGCAAGTTCTGTGACTGGACGTTGGAAAGAGGTAGATTTACCATTGCGTCGGACGCGGAGCTCAACCTTTCGCACTAGGCCATCTTCGCTAGCAATTGCGCGTGTGACGACTCCCAACATCCAGTCGTTTCTGGCACTCTGCGTATCTTTCATTAGCACTACGTCTCCGACTTTGACATTACGTTCTTTCTCTTGCCATTTTCTTCTTGGCGGTAACAACGACAAGTACTCTCTTCTCCATTGTGACCAGAACTTCTCAGCCAAGACTTGGACATGTCTCCACTGTGCTCGGTACATATCCTTCGCGTCGAGATGAGCAAAAGACTCTATTTGATCTTCTGTCTTTTGAGTAAGCAGAACCGAGGGAGACAGGACAAACGGCTGTTCTGGATCCGATGATACAGGCACGAGAGGGCGCGCATTTAAGATGGCACATACTTCGGCCATTAAAGTAGTGAGCACTTCATGAGTGAGCTCTTTTCCCTTGTTCTCTAGAAACATAGCATCGAGTATACGGCGTGCGACTCCGATCATCCGCTCCCACGCGCCTCTAAAGTGAGATGCGTGGGGAGGATTGAATGTCCAAGTGGAGTCATGCAGCACTCATGGATCCAGGAGTTGTTGGGCCAGAAGTTACATCACGAGGGATATCACTTTGACTAGCTTTGACCACCGAAAGAATTTGTCAAACAGGTAAGTAACTGGAGCTGGAATCAGCTCCGTCTTCTTGACCACGGCCTCAGGACGGATTTCCTTATCCTCTTCAGGTTCTGCTAAAGGAAAACGATCGTCTGGCAGTTCAAGATGTTTGGATAGTTGTGTTGCTCCAAGTAACCATTTGCTATCTCTCAGCATGGACGCGGACAGGAATCGTGTTCCTTGGTCTGATGGATTATTTTCAGACTCAACATAGAACCACTGCACCGGTTTCGTGAAACGCAGTATCCTACTAACTCTGTTAGCAACATAAACATAAAATCGTCTGGTGCGGTTCTTCAGGTAACCAAGAAGAACCTTGCTATCTGAGTAGAATATCATGTTCTCGGAAGGTGTATAGATCTGTTCTTGAAGGATCTCGACAATTTCAACAGCCAGCAAGGCGGCACAAAGCTCAAGTCGTGGGATGGAATGTCCATGTTTAGGAGCCACTTTAGATTTTCCTAGCAAGAAGCTGACGTGAATATTCCCTTCGACGTCTATTGTTTGGAGGTATGCCACTGCTGCTATAGCTCGCTCTGACGCATCGGCATATATGTGAACCTTATTGGTGATGTCGTCTTCAGAAATCGGAGTTCTACGAGGAATTTGTAAGCTCCCCAGCTCCTGTAGTGACTTTTCCCAAGCTTCCCATTCGCTATGTTGATCTGCTGATAAAGGTTCACCCCAATCGACTGTTTCTTCAACCATTTTGCGAAGAAGTGTTTTGCCTTGTATAGTTACAGGTGCCAAGAAATCTACAGGATCGTACAGACTATTTATGGTTGACAACACTCCTCTACGAGTGTAGGGCTTGGATTCCATAGACGCCTTGATGGAAAAGGTATCGGGTTCCAGGTTCCAGCATAGTCCTAAGCTGCGTTGGGAGGGAAGAATCAGATCCTAGATCTAAATCCTTGAGATCCTGTGCTAAATCATCTGACGGGAAACTGTTGATGATATCCTGTGAGTTTGAACTGATTTTATGAAGACTAATACCTGCACTAGACAATGCAGCCTGAGTACGGCTCAATAGATCAACAGCTTCATCTGGGGTGGATAGAGAGATCAGACCATCATCCACATAAAAGTTGTTCTCTACGAATTCCAAAACGTCGGCTCCACAGTCGCCTTCACCTTCCTTTGCTGTCCTGCGCAGTCCATAACTTGCCACCGCTGGGGACGGGCAGTTTCCAAACACATGCTTGGTCATCCTATACTCTATCATGGGACGCGATGGATCGTTTGCTTCATACCAGTAGAATCTGAGGAAGTCTCTGTGCTCAGGAGTGACTGAAAAACAATAAAACATCTGTTGGATGTCTGCTGTTACGGCTACCTTACCCTTCCGGAAGCGAAGTAAAACTCCGAGCAAGCTGTTTGTGAGATCAGGGCCCTTCATTAAGACTTCCTTCAAGGATACGTCTTTAAACTTGGCAGAGGAATCAAAAACGCCGCGTATCTTCCCAGACTTTTTAGGGTGATATACCCCAAACAACGGGAGGTACCACCTCTCTCTGTCGTCATCTATAGATATAGGTGATGCGATCTCAGCATGACCCCTGTCTATGATTTCCTTCATGAAGGCTACCGTGTGTCTCTTTTCATGCGATTCTTCTTGAGACTAGCGTCTAGCATGCGAGCTCTCTTGAGAGCGAGAGGCTGGTTATTTGGTAAACGGGAACGAGGTACACGAAAGGGAAGGGGCGCCGACCAAGATCCGTCAGGTTGTCTTGTGAATTCCTCATCCATGATTTTCATAAATCTACCATCCTCTATAGACAGACCGGAATTTTCATCCTTGCTGGTTCGTAAGAATACGTCCTTGCACAGATCCGGTGGGTCCTTAACGTGTATCTTGCTGGTGCATTCATCGAAGATGGTTGTCCTTCCATCGACGAGAACCCTTGTCTTCATAACGTTGACATTGCTCGGCCGGTGTGTTTTACCACAGCAGACTTCACCCACAATCACCCATCCCAATTTAAGCCTCTATGCAAATGGTTCGTCGCTTCCACCGATTCGTTGTTCAGTCACATGGAATGCTTCTGGGAGGTCTCGTCCAATAAGTAATTGAACCCCAATATCTTCTCTAATTGTGGGAAGTTGAACACCATTCATATGCGGATATGAGGAGCTGACCTGTGGTGGAGGAATTTCTTCTCTATTGTTTGGGATCTGGTCACACTCTATGATAGTGGGTAAGTTCAAAGAGTGGCTTCCATCATAAGATGTCACTGCAAACCCAGACAGACGACGGCCTGTCACGAGCTGTTTTCCTGCACATGATACAATAGCGTATGGTTCGGAATTCTGTTCAGGAATTTTCCAATAGTCGAATACATCTGAGCGACCAAGACTCCTGTTGCTCTGCTCATCTAAAATGGCATATACGGGTATGGACTTTTCTGGTTCACCAACCGGATGAAGCTTTACAAATAGAGTTTTGGCACAGGAACGGCCACCAAACTCTTTTCCGCATATTTTAGTGCAATGGGCTGTGGCAGATCTCTGAGAGTTTTCTTTTACCTGTTTTATTATTTAAGGATGTCGAATTCTCCTCGCCATGAGGTGGCTGGGGCCTCTGATTACCTCTTACTTCGGTTTGAGTACCTTTGTGCTTAGGGTGGAGTGCTGAGGGGTGATGTTTGCTCTGACAAATCTTACACTTGACATTCTCATGACAGTCCCTGGATATGTGTGCGTTTGAATTGCAGCATCTGTAACATATTTTATGCTCAACGAGAATCTCTCTACGCTGTGACATGGATTTTTCTTTAAATGTCCAACAGTCATTCAACGTATGCTTTGGGTTACCAGCGCAGAATATACACTTTTAAGTCTGTCAGTACTTTAGTTCCAGCTTCACACCTCAACTCAGTTTTGTTCACTATGACATCTTGACAACGACTATTATTTGGACGGCGCGAAACTCTTGTGTTATTTTCTGGTACCGCTATGATTAAACCTGGATCATTCATGACTGTCGACATTTCTTTTAGAAAGGCGGCAAAGTACTCGAACGGCGGATAGGCTTGATCATGAGATCTCTTATAAGCGGCTGCTCGGTCCATCCACTTATTCTGTAGTCTAAGCGGTAACTTCGAGACCACCCGATTCGTACCGAGCGATAAGTCAAAGTAAGAAAGGACACCACTGAATTTGCTGTTCTTTTTCACCGTTAGGATTTCATAGATTATATCGACCAAATCATACAGTTTCTCATGATCCCTCTGCGCGAGTCGCGGAAAGTTATCGAGCCTTTTCTTTAAAGACGATTCAACAACTTCAGGGCTACCATATTTCTCGTCTAAACGGTTCCAAATTTCAGAACAACCGCGAATTGGATCGCCGGCTATGGAGGCCTTAATGCTCTTAGCATGACGCGACGATTTCGGACCGAGCCATTTAACAAGAAGCTCGAGTTCTTCCGTCGGGTTTGCACCTACCACTCTCATGATACCAGAAAAAACTTGCTTTCCAAGAAATGTAATTTTCAGGGAGGTCATCAAATTGCGTTAACCTTGACATTATCAAATCTTTTCTGAGCAGATACCTGCTGAAATATAAGCATTGTGATTGAAACCCTTGAGGCTTGAAGGGAGGTGCATCAGAATTCATGGCGGGAGGAACATGTTCACTGGTGAATAACCTGTACCGAGACATGTAGCGTTAACTATAGGGTTCGCATCAAGTGATATGTGACCTTGGCCTAATTGCATGGAACTCGTATGGTGTGACACACGACTTTGGGGAGGGATACACTTACCTACAACATTTTGTGTGGCATACACATGACCTTGACCTTGGGAAGGGCTAGATTTACAAACATTATGCTCAAAATGCTGAGACTCGTGACCTTGACCTGGGGAAAGAATACACTTATCTACAACAATTTTGTGTGCCATACACATAACCTTGACCTTGGGAGGGGCTAGATTAACCGACATGCTCAACACGCTGAGACATATGACCTTGACCTTAAGAAGGGCTATATTGACTGACAGCATTGTGCCTGGCATACTGAAACTCATGACCTTGACCTTGGGAAGGATTACATTTGCTGACAGGACTATGCTCAACATATTGTGACACAGAACTTTGGTCTATTGGAGGGGCATTTTCACCTGCAGCATAATGCTCAACATGCTGTGACTCATAACTTGAACGTTTACAGATTGCTGACTACCAGGAGTCTCTGATAAAATCTTATTTTGGTTTATAAGCAAGAATGTCTATGTCAATTTGAAGCTCTGACTTCTTTCTCTCTGATGCTGCTCGTAACTTAATTTCTTCCTCCTCAAGAAGAGCCTGTTGTTTTCTTAACTCAGCTTCTTTCTGTTCAAAATGTAGCTGTGCCCTTTTTGCTGCGACCTTCATACGTCGCTGTACAATTTTTGACGAAGAAGATGATCTCTTGCTATTTGAAGACTTTACACTCTCTGTTCTGTGAAAGCTAGGTTCTGGTTGAGATAATAGATTTTCTAAATGTTTTAGAGTGTACGACACCTTTGACTCTATGTTGCTTCGTATAAAGTTGTGGGAAGATATCTCCCTAATGCTTGCGTCAGTTCTCTCTCTTTCAAGATAAGCTATGAAGATGTTGGATTCTTTCACATAATTTGCATACACTTCCTGGATGTGTTTCATGGTATCCTCTATATCAGATATTATGCAAAAGTCTCTGTTTAGAATACCATCCAGTTCTTTTGCCAGCTTTGCACATTTTTGCGAATAAAATGACACCCTTTCTTCAAACTGCTCGACAGCCCGATCGGTTAAGGCTCTTAAACGTTTTCCTTCATCAACTTCAGCGGTTGGGCTACCTGGTTCCCCTTGCATGGCAGGACTACCTTGGTCCTTGGTCTCGGCCATTCTTAGTTGTGGTAGTAATACTGTCTTTTACTGTGCTGACTCCGACATGATAACCAACAAATTTGTAGAGTTGTCAGGCTTTATTGTCGTACCGGATACTGCTGATATTTGTATATCTATATATAGTAAAAGATGGAAGAGATACAAACAGTTAATTAAACTTATGTTTTAATTTGATTGACACTTAATTAAAGTTAATAAGATTATAGAAAATTGGAAATTACTATTTGATTCTGAGTAAAATGTACACATTGAAAAATATCAGAAATATGAAAGAAATATGAGCACACGCAGATGCACTTAAAACCACACGTTTAGTTACTTAGAAAGATTGAAAGCGGTATGAGTCAATTAGCACAGCTTTTAAAATACGAGCATATGAAACTTTGCATTATGCTACAGTGAATAACTGGTAAACTGCTTAACGAGTGTCACATAAACAAACTCAAAATTGAAAATAAGTGCATGCAGATGCGTAAACTACGTATGCATTAATTCAACAGAAGGTTGGGAAATATGAAAAATAATACGATCGCATGATCTGGGCCACATTTAATTGTCTCGGACAAATATATCAACATTCGTCTCAACGTCGGGCGGAACGCGAGGTATTCAGGGGACAGAAGGTGGAACACTACTAAAAAATGGCAAGGGCAGAACAGTATTTGTTACTCTACAGAAGATCATGTATTTGTACTGTGAGTTTGTTACTCTACAGAAGATAATGTATTTGTACTGTGTGTTTGTTACTATACAGAAGATCATGTATTTGTACTGTGTGTTTGTTACTTCACAGAAGATCATGTATTTGTACTGTGTGTTTGTTACTCTACAGA